GCAAATTTTATTTAAATAAAAAATAATTTTCTTATTTAGATACACGTCGTGTGTGTGTGTGTGTGTGTGTGTGTGTGTGTGTGTGTGTGTGTGTGTGTGTGTGTGTGTGTGTGTGTGTATGTGTGTGTGTCCGTTCGTTATTATCTATCGTTATTAGCTAAATTGTTGAAAGCTAAATAATTTTAGAACTACGTGCATGCATGTAGGCATGAACAAAAGCATAATTGTATGTTAATTAAGAGAAACGTAAATGAACATGCAGATTGAAAATACAAACGAAAAATTTGACAGTGGCGGGAAATAAGCGAGGACGCATGCATTATGTATCAAATTATATTAATTGCTAGAATAGTCGATGGAACTGCAAATGCACCTCGACATTTACTTTATGTCATATTAATATTTCGCCGCGAAACAGAAAATTACCTCATTTTGGGACAAATTGCCTCGATATATACCGGCCGCCTCCATAACGCCGAATTATTCGACAGAAAAATTGTAGTTTACCGATAAAAGCAAACATAATCCATTGTATAAAAAGCGCAGTAATGGGAGTTTTAACGCCCATAGCTCGGCTTGGCTACGGCCAGGATCGACTCGAAACTTCCGAAAATATGGATATAATATTGCGTATGAAAATGAGTATAATGCAAGAGGAAAGCATATTCATAATTCGCCCTGCTGATAAAAATTACGTACTAACAACGTAACGGTTATAATGAAAAAGACAAAATAGCTGAACATGTACGTATCTAAAAATAGAAAAACAAAATAAAATAAAATATATTTATATTCTGAATCGCGCGGAAATTGTCATACACACGAGTACATGCGACCAAATATCTCTTGCTATTTTTTTTATATAAAATTTTGAAAATTTACAACAAGCGTGACATTTATCTTTTTGCTCACTCAAAAATGAGGATTAAAATTATTATACCAAATGCTGCATTGTCATTCTATGCGATCCTTTCGTGCGTAGGATAAAACGTTCTTGGAACGTCACCATTTTATATCGGTTATTAATTACGCGCATAGTAATATTTGTCATTTGCAATAAATATTACCAAGAGGTATGCAAATAAAGTCACATTGCGTCCATTAATTTCTCAATATGCAATCCACAAGTGAATGTAGAAACGTGTCAATGCGTGCATTTCCACTATATACTTGTCGATGTTCGTCCTGCATTTAAATCCATTTCACAGATTTATTCGAGCGTTCTTAAACATTGGAGGAATACGAAAGTTCAACTGTGACTCTCTACTATACGACTAATTTAATCAAAAATTATATTTATCTAAAAATAAGATACATTCGCTCTTATTCTTGGATATAGAATTCTGATTTAGAGAGTTCATCTAGTTATTCTAATCTGTTTTATACGACGTGTTCGGAATCTTTACGAAATAAAAACATATCCGTTAAATCCGCAATTATTCATAGCGGACACACTCGCGATTCCGCAGTCGCATACCAGCTTCCTTACTTTCGACGTAACGGCGTAAAGAAAGAAATAACGTGAATCTGAGAGTTAACGATTCGTTCCTGAATGGCTCGGGCCAAATAGAGCGCACGCGTCCAAATTGCTCTTACATCCTCGGACGTATCCTTCGGGTATCCTACGGCCGCGGCGAAGTCGGGAAGGAGCGAGGAGCGTGACGCGAAAGGACGACCGATCGAAGATTCGGAATGCAACCGAGCGGCACACGACGACCGGGAGCGAGCGAAACGGCGAGCTTCGGTTCTCGTAGCACGTGGTACGGTAACGGCCGTGCGGAATCTAATGAAGGGATGTCTAGGGAGCAGTTTAAGCAGTTTCGCCTAATCTAACTGCCGCGGTCGCCGCGGAAACGGAGAGAGAGAGAGAGAGAGAGAGAGAGAGAGAGAGAGAGAGAGAGAGAGAGAGA